ATATATATATATATATATATATATATATATACACACACACACACTAATCTTTGAAAGTAACAACGTAATAAATGTATATCTAATTAGCCATACTAATTTCCAGGTTGATTTTTAATTTCACTCTTTAAGTGCATATCTTGCTCTGATCGGAAGTTAATATTACATAACAGTGTGTGGAGTAGATGTCTACAGATGGACGACCAACATCATTGTATACTGCTCAACACAAGCCATGTCGGTCGGGAGGAAGAGGGGTGTGTATGTGAATAACAACTTGTAAACCTGTTGTACATGAAAAGTTTCTTTCATTAAGCCTATCAACTATGTTTTCCCCTCTACTTTTATCTACTCTGAGAATCATTAATACGAATGTTTCCATTACACATATTTAAGTTCCCAGTTAAATTCTAGAATGTCAAATGAAATTAATATAGCTTCTCTCACATTTTCAAGTCCACTTTTCTAAACCATTTATATACTAAGTTGCTTGTGGGTTAATGATTTTGATGGTTACAAAGTCCTTAATAAGATTATACAAGACACTCACAAAAATTAAATAAAAATACCATAAATATTACAATTAGTTCCTCCTTGGATCTCACATATTTTACACAGGAAATGAATGATTTCATTGATTTTGTTTGTGTGTGTGTTGTAACAGACACAAAATGAAATTACTTCAATATGATGTAATATGTGGACCTCCAATCAATAATCAGGTAACTGTAAGGCTAAATGCGAGTATATTTAATTATTTTGTGTATTTTTAATAGTACTCTGCCTTTACTAGTTGATTCTGAAGCAAGAAGTCCCTGGTTTAGTGTTATAACAAATCTCTATAGATGTGATAAGAACATTTATCTTCACAGAGATTCCTGTTTGAGGCCTTACGAAATGATGGAAGTACAATCCCCTTTATCTGTTTCAATGAAGATATTCCCCTCTTGCAGTACATTGTTAGAAAATTTACTCCTTAGTAACTTGTTTTAACAACAAAACTAAAAACAATATTATATAAGTCATAGCTTATCATTATTCTTGATGATAGCAAGTTATACCTACAATTTTATGTTAAACCTCATGATTATAATGTCCAAGATGTTAGTACTACTACAGCATGTGGTCTACAAATATATTTACACTACAGCATTCAGTCTACACAGATACTATCATCACCACCGTTTTAATGATTCACTAAAACATAATTTCTTGCTAAATAATTTATATCTATCCACGTTTTTGTTCAGTAAATAATAATAATTAAATAAGTTGTGTGTTCCAAAAGAGTACCCTAAATTTGGGTTACAATTGTGCTAGTTTTGATTGTTGGAATTGATTTCAGTCTGATTATATTTGCTCCCAAAATGTTATGTAATGGTATTTCGTACTTTATTAGTTTAAAAGTGTTATTTATAATAACTGGCACTAATTGTAAATAAATGAAAGTTAAAAAAAGTGATGATTATAGAATCTGTGTTGACAGCATGCTATAGTAGCACCAAGATGTTTTTACTCAAATGTTTCTCTGTTCGAATTCTATTCCATCAAGGACAAACTGAGTGCAAAGACAACATTTTAAAATTAAGTTTAAACCAGTTTTTCATCAAGAGTTCATCCTTGGGAAGTAAAGTCATCTGTAGAGTAGCAAGTGTTTATCTAAAAACACAATCAAGTTGACTGTCTAATATTTATTTGTATTCTTATATAATAAACACATGCATATCTTCTTATCATTGCTCAGCTCTTACCAAATTCTCCGTAAAACTAGTACAAGAGAAGTCTATCAAACAGCATTACTTTATGAAAGTACAAATTATTTCATGTATTTAAGTCATTAAAAAAAATTAAAAGACAGAATGCACTTTTACACTCGTATTAACATTACCAAGTTTATATAAACTTGTAACGAAATAATAAACCTGAACTATTAAAACATTTAAAATTTTTTGTTAGCAATATAAATGCTTTTGGTAAAGCAGTATATAGCATAAACTAGAAGAATCAGGCTGTATTCTAGATTGTACTTTTAAACCAGAAGAATCAGGCTGTATTCTAGATTGTATTTTAAACCAGAAGAATAGGCTGTATCCTAGATTATACTTTAAACCAGAAGAGTCAGGCTGTATTCTAGATTATACTTTAAACCAGAAAAGTCAGGCTGTATTCTAGATTGTACTTTAAACAAGAAGAGTCAGGCTGTATTCTAGATTGTACTTTAAATCAGAAGAGTCAGGCTGTATTCTAGATTGTACGTTAAACCAGAAGAATCAGGCTGTATTATAGATTGTACTTTAAACCAGAAAAATCAGGCTGTATTCTAGATTGTGCTTTATCAGTGAAAGGTCAACAATTATAAATTAAATATATCTAAATTTTACTTAAAAATCTAATGATACAGTTTTCTTACTAAAAATAATGTTTACAAGTGCTAACAACAGAAAACCCTGCTACTGTCATTGACAAGTTGCTATTTATTACTACAAACAAAACTATACTCCATTGACAATTCTTATGTTACAGTTTGTCATTCCCTGCTACTGTCATTGACAAGTTGCTATTAATCAACAGAAGCAAAGCAATACTCTTCTGTAAGCTTCAGTTTAACTGCTTCGTATGTCATTCCCTGCTCTTATCATCGACAAGTCACTAGTACATGCAAGAAGCAAAGCTGTATATATATATATATATATTCCCTTGCTAACCCTAGTTTATTAAAATCTTTTTATTACTTCCTGCAACTAAATAATTTGTTCAACATTTCATACCATTTCCTTTTCAAGTTACAAGAAGGAAAGTTATATCCCAATGAAAACTCGTGTGTAACAGTATGTTATTTCTTTCCAGTTTTACTGTAAAAGACACCTGTTGTTACTCTACGAAAAGCTATATGCCATTAGTGATTCCAGTTTAATCATATCTTATGTCATTCTCCAGTAATTCTATGAGCCTACTTATAATAACTCAGTCACAGTACGCCATTAGTCAAATAAGCTACAATTAGTTTAAAATTTCATTTGAAGAGCTTTATGTGTGGTATTTCCTACTTCTGTCGCTGTTTATACTATGTCATAGGTCGACTAGTATTGAAACTAAGTTCTGTTAATAATTCATGTTATTAGTTCTCTCCTGATGTTGTAATTGGTTAGTTCTTAAAACCAAAAATAAAGACAAAGTCTTATAGCTTTTAATGTTGTGTTCACTACTGCCATTAGTCAGTTTGTTCACAATGTAAGATGAAAAAGAGAAATACAGATCGTTAAGACTCATTAATAATATAAAACATAAGTTAAAAACTGTGCCATAGTTACAGTAGCAAATTTGTAAGCATACTGTACAGGTCAGAACTGTGATACTCTATATGAATGTAACAATAATTTAAGGTTCTAATCCTTTTACTGTTTCACAGCTTGTGAAAGAAACTCTGAAATATATTTATTGGTTTAGAATTAACATTTCTGTTAGATCAATCACAAGTTTAATTTTTTTGATAAAGTAGACAAAAAAGCAGATTCAAAAGGCCTTTTATGGCCAAAACTCAAACAATTTTTCTAGTCATTTTAAACACGACTGCCAGGTTCATTTTTAGGTTTGCTCTAACTAAATAGCTTGCTCTGATTGGAAGTTAATATTAATGATTAGAATACAACCTGCTTTACTGGTTCATACATACAGATATTCAATGCAAGACATTAATTACCATAAGACAAAAAAAGGTGAAATTTTCAGATCAAGTGAATGTGATGTACCTTCTAAATTTGGTAAAGAAGGTTGTATGTTATATTTGTTCAGTTGAAGTTTCATTTGTTTATAAATATTTAGATAATTCATTACACGTTAGTAACTTCTCCATGAAAAAACAACAAATATATGAAAAAAAAAAGATTCTGCACACACAGTGTTGAACATGTTTTTGTCAGTTTTCATGTAAATCGAAGGAGCCAATTGCAAATGACCTCAAACCCTCTCAATCCCCTTTAAAAAATGGGTACACATGAATTTAGCTACTTATTTTGAGTGATCCCTCAAATGTTCATGCCAATTTTCATACAAACCCATGGATGAAGTCCACCAAATCCCACTGACCTCCCATAAAGGAGCTCGAGTTTTAAAATCTTCAATATCTGAATTAAGAAAATGACTTGGAATGGCTCCTTATATGTTAATGTCAATTTTAAAAAAAAATTAGTTCAGTAAAATCCTTTGTCCCTTATTACCCCTCCCCAATATTCTCAACAACAACAACAAAAAAAAAGTTTATTTAAATTTAATAAAGGCTGAGATCATAGGAGCAAAGTTTAAAGTTCTTTTGTCAATAACTGTGGGAAGAAGTAAAAAAAATCACATAAGCAAAGATACATAATGTAAGTAGAACTGTGAATTACTATATAAAAACACCACAAGAAGAACATTTTTTTTTTTACAATTTTCATGGAACAACCTTTAGCCGCCACAACAACTAAAACGTACCACATTGTTTTTATTATTATAAGCTTGTTTTATATTTTTTCAATTATCTTGTATTATTCATGATATGTACAACTACATACCATGCCAGACAAAACTAGTTGTTATGCAAGTTTTTCACTACTCCCATAAAGCTAACCATTATTTACAATGACAACCAATTATATCGTATTATGAGCTTCTGCACTACCTGGTTGCGCATTCTTAGATCACTCATTATACATACCAATAAGAAACAAAACTAGTAATGTCAAGTAATATTTTTTTTTATATTGTTATGAGACAATCATTGGTTGCCATAACAACTAAAATTCCCAGTTTGCCCCTGAAGAAAAAAAGGTCCACCTTTCAAAAGTGCTCGGGTATTAGGGTTTTTATTCATTTCAACCAAAATTATAACTTACTATATTATCTACTTTTATCAGTTTAGCTCATTAACAATAGTCTATTTAATTTACTTTTATAATATATCATGATACTATGACTAGTTAGTATATGACTTTTCTTTTCATGCTTGTCTATAGTACGTTAGTTCACCATCTGCTACTGAAGAAAAATAAAAAAAGTCTTGTTTGTAATTATGCTTTCTGAGATATCAATCTATCATGTCAAGAATTCAACTGAAGTTATAATGCTTATATCTTTCCTTAGAATTTTCCAGAACCCTTAGAATTAATTCAACAGCTAAAAGATTTCACCGGATTAGCTTACTTTCTTTACGGGCCAAGTTTCTTAGTTGGATTTTTTCTAGACACTTCTGAAAAAACAACAACATTTTTCCAAGGAGTGTTTCTCTTTTAGGAATTTCTTCGTAGTACAGGAACTTGTTTTTTTTTTCATTTTGGATGATTTTAAACAAATGAAAATATGATTTGCATATAGGCAAGATGGTTCCTTCCCCCACTCAAGGTCAGAAAGAACTTTATATTAAACGGCATCACAGTCCCATGTCATAGGACATCTTACATTTTTTGTATGATCACTCTTGACAGAGATTCAACCCCGTAATAATGGATAATACTTTACAACATACAGTACTCCAATTATACTGCATTATAAATATCATTGGTTCAATGCAAGAAACACCAGTTTAATCAAATTATATATACGTCAGATATTAGTTACCATGAAAAACTGTAATTTATATGACATTAGAAACTCTTAAAGCTACTGATACTATCTAGTGCAGAGGGACTATTACAAACTATCTTAATCTACAAATCCTGTTTTGCAACCTTTTTCTGATATTTTTCTTCTATTGTAATTGGTCAGCCAAACACATTAACTCATTGATTATTAAGTGATCAAAGCTATAAAGAGTCAACCTAAATCTTTCGCATCAACATCTTCACATTAACTACTTCATGGTGAAGATGTTGAGAGTCAGTGATGAAGTTAAAAAATAATTAAAAGGTGCTGGGATAACAAATCTTGTGCAAAGAATGGAAAACAAACAAAAAACACTTTTTGGGTATTTTTAAATGTTTGGACTACAGTGACAGAAGAAATAAGCTTATACCTACATTATTGATGACTCTTCCTTGTAGTCATCACGTAATAATACTTACTTTACAACCTTTCCACAAACATGTGAAACTTTCTCCATCTTTCTGACTGTCAACGTGGACATTACGAATGTGCTCCACAAGTTCACTCGGACAATCAACCTCAATAACACAGTTTAACCACTTGCATGTCAAAGGTGACCCGGCCTGAGAACTGGCAGTTGATTGGCTTGAAGTTAATAAGGTGGCAGTGGGGGATTGGTTATAGCATATCGTGGAAGAAACTAAGGATTGCCTAGAAAATGATGAAGTACTAAGACCTTGGCTAGAAGATGAGGCTTGTGAATACACATCAAGGTTGTTTTCAATGTGAGACTTTTCCCACTCTTTAACCCCTAATGGATTGAAAGTGGTAATGGAATCATCACAGGCATTTTCAGTCTCACTACACTTCTTTGTTATATCTTGTTCCCTTGATAATTCTTGAAAAGTGTTCTTCTGGACCCCACAATCTTCTTCATATTTTACATCATGTTCATTAAAATCTAACAAACCATTAGGCTGAGTTATGCCATCTTGGAGGAGACCATCCCTTTGATACTCTAATGAATGTTCAGATATATCTTCCTTTGAACAATTCCTCCCTGGCAAAACACCATAGTCAACACTGTCAAAATCATCACTTCCAAGCAGACAATTATCATTGGTTTCCTCTGACAGAGAGGCTGGTAGAGGAGGCATGGGCTGAGGAATATCTGGAGAAGCTGGACATTCTGGAGAGCACGGTTCTGAAACACTAGTGGTATCACTTGACTGGCAAGAGTCGCTGGCTCCACTACTCACGGCCACACTGAGGAAAGAACAATAACTATTGACTATAACTTGTAACTTGCTTAACTTAAAACAGTTTCAACATATATACATAATAATACAGTTTTATTTATGCTTTTGGGAGGATAATTCCACATGGAAAGATAGTGCCAAGAATTTTTAGAAAAACTTCACAAACTTGTACTTAAAAAAAATCAAAGCAAACTATTTGCCACTACTTTGTAAAAATATTAATAAAAAATCATGCAAGCCAAGGAACTTGTATAACTTCTAGGACTAAGTTTTTTTTTAACAATTTAGGCTAGATATCTTATATTGGCCCCAAATTGACACTGGATGAGTCATACAAAGATGCAAACTTGGACAGCTTGAAGCAAATATTTCTTGCTATAATGATTTAATCTCTAAAAAGTCATGGTAATGGGACCAAAAATATATTGTGGATGTTCACTAGATATTTTTTAACTTAGAAATATGCTACAGATATAAAAAATTAAAACAAAATAAAATTTAAATATTTACGAGTTTAAAAATTTTTTTACAGTATGAAATAAGTCACACAGGCTGCAAAAGTTACGGTCAAGAAGAATTTGTTAACCAATGAATTAAGCTGTATTGTTAAACGTTATATTTCTCTTTCTTCTGTGATAGAAAATGTCTAGCTCTTATTCCAATTTTTGATATTTGATCAAACGGTTGAGTTCAATTTGAATAAATGGTTATTAAAAGCTGGAATAATGTGTGATAAAACTATAAGTAATAAGAACTTGTCAAATTTGGTTAACTATTTAACCATACTTTTTAAAGACAATGAAACAGTGAAGAATAACTTGTCTAAACTACAAGATACAAAGTCTCCAACTTGAAATACCTATTTGTCTAATCAGTGTAAATGTTTTAAACTTTTTACCATAGTCTATTTCTTAGGTTTAGTATAAGACCTTCATCGTGATATTTATAGGCTGATAATCAATCATTACTGCACAGCACCACGGCCTTGATTATAATGTAAAGCGAGCCAGGCTACATACGCCAATAACCTAAATTGCACGTTATGTAGGCCTTTTGGTACACATGACCATAATATCAACTTATTTTAACAAATGTTCTGACCATGAAAAGTGAGCAAAGAATCTATGATATTAGTGAAAGGTTGTGTGTCTGTAACACTAACACTGATAGTAATAGCAAGAAGACGGATAACTCCGTACATAGCCCCGCTAGTCGTCGTCTATCGAACCCACGCTTTGTGTAATGCCAGTAATAAAAGCTTCCTGGCTTTTCTTACCTGAAAGAAAATCTATTTATTTCAACGCTTGATAACGGTGTAAAATCCTTCCAAGGTAGCAGCGCAATGGTCCAGCAGTCGTCCATTGCTGCCCCAAGTCCACAATCTGGTCCACATTGAACAAAGGTCAACCTCCGACCACGACCCTAACAAAGGACATCAGATTCTGCGACACCTATCGAGCATTGCCAGAAACTCGGCAGAGTGAGAGAGATGTAAGACCGTGACGTAGGTACTTCCTCTCTGGCCCTGGCCTCCGTGGGGTGTAAAAATATGCTTACACTACAAAGGTTTTGACATCGTGTAGAAAAGAAATTTTTCATCATGCACAATTAATGTAGAAGTCTAGTTTTTGTTGTAATTTCTTGTGATTGTTAAAACGAAAAAATGTATATTGCAAGGCAAAGAAAAATGTCATAATCTAGCATGCGTGAATCTAAATAAATATTAAATGGCGTTTTAATGCAATAAATACATAAAAACTTCCCACAGTTCAATAACATAATAGGCGTTAAGGTTTTGCACCCCACTCTCTTGCTCACTGAAACTTTCAAGTTTCTAAAACTGTTTTTAGCATAACTGTGTATGTATTTATAATTATAGCAAAGTTACCAACGCAGTCCTTCATTAAAGTTTTACCTTTGGGAACAAGTTTTGTGTAAGTAAGTCAGCCATAAATCTTTAACTGGGCAATTCTGTGTCACTCTGACAGTATTTTACCCTTTGAACTACTGACCAGAGGGCATGCAGCACTCACCATCCACGCTAAGGAGTTAACTGTCATTCTTATAACGCGCACACACATCTTAAAAGTGCAGGAATATTTAGTGATATCCCACGGATTTGAACCACGCTTGCCAGTTCCGAAATTCGGAGCTATCCCATGAGGCTAACCCGCGCCCTCTACCATAACATATAAAGAATATGTAAATAAATAACTTAAAAAATATAAAAACGCTTACAAAAAAATAGTATTATAATGAGAAGTGAAACTGTATAATTTTTGAGTAATGTTGCCTTTTGTTGTAGACTATGTTATAAGTCAACTATAACTGTTTTGCTTACATGTGTTATAAATGATCCTACATCTAGTTATTATTTCCTGCAACACTATATTTTAAAATGTTGAATGAAATTCCGATTCACCAATTTTTATTTATAGGTTTTAACTCAGTTTAAACATTACTTACCAGGGATGACCATCCCATTTAAAGCTTAAGAGGACCCCTGACCTCCAATTTCTATCTCTTATCCTTTAAAAGTTGATAATGGGTAGATTACCCAGTATCATTTGAAATAACAGGAACACATCTTATTTCATGAAGGCTATACGTCAATCTATCTGTATGACTTTAACATGTAATATTATAACATTACAGTCAACGTTTTATTAAATAAGGATTGATTGCACTCCCCTTTTCATCAACTACTTATACTTTAATCTACCCTTTTCTACTATGAATTACTCCTTTACCCCCTACCCCCCCCCAAAAAAAAACAACACATGACACACACACAGTCCTGACATTCACGCGATGCCAACAAAATAAATGCTGAGCGAGGCATGGATACTTTTACTAGTATTAAAATTAATTTTTTAGTAAGTACTTTTCTTTTTTACACAGGCCCGGCATGGCCAGGTGGTTAGGGCGCTCGACTCGCAATCTGAAGATCGCGGGTTCGAATCCCCGTCCCCCCAAACATGTTCGCCCTTTCAGCCGTGGGGGCGTTATAATGTGATGGTCAATCCCACTATTCGTCGGTAAAAGAGTGGTGGTGATGACTAGCTGCCTCTCACTGCTAAATTAGAGACGGCTAGCGCAGATAGTCCTCGTGCAGTTTTGCGCAAAATTCAAAACAAACCAAATATTTCTACATGGTAATCGTACTTAATGGACTTAAATGTGGTGATAATTTCATATATTAGGACAGTATACATATTGTTATGTTGTAAAATCCTATTTACTTTCCTCAGGTGCATTGTCATTCAAATATTTATCAAGCCTTCCCTTAAACTCCCTTAAATTAGCTACATCCACCACATCTGAAGACAACCTTTTCCAAAGGCCAACCATTTCTTCATCTATGTCACTGATGTAAATCAAATAGAGCAGAGGTCCTAAGACTGAGCCCTGAGGTACCCCACTTGTGACATTAATCCAGATTGACTGAACTCCATATATATATCAACCATCTCCTTTCCTACATCCAGCCAGTTTTTCTTAACCAGTGAGCCAACCCCACGCCTACAGAGTATATTTGGACTTAACATCAAATACACTTTCTTTAGGCGTGGACAGTAATCTCAAATGTATATAACTAGGAAAATCTAAAGGTTCAAGTTCAATTTTTTACAAATTTTCAATACATTTAGACTAGCTTTGCACAAAGAAAACAACAACGAAATTCTTTCATAAGACAACTGTTAATGGGAGGAGTAAAACAGAGGGATATCTTTCGAACCCACTAGATGACAGCATTTTTTCTAAAAAAGTATTACTATGTTTAATTTCAAACATAATTTTTAAATCACCTTACCATTCTAACATGTTCACCAAAAAAAAACGAATGAAATTTTATCTACTAAATGTCATGTTGTTAATGGTGTGTTAAAATGAATTCGCCCCGTGTATATATATATATATCTTATATATATTGTGAACCGTGGTATCTGTCTGAGCGTCCGTCTGACTCCCGTTTGAAAAGGCCCGGCATGGCCAGGTGGTTAGGGTGCTCGACTCGCAATCTGCGGGTCGCGGGTTCGAATTCCCGTCCCACCAAACATGCTCGCCCTTTCAGCCGTGGGGGCGTTATAATGTGACCGTCAATCCCACTATTCGTTAGTAAAAGAGTAGTCCAAGAGTTGGCGGTGAGTGGTGATGACTAGCTGCCTTAACTCTAGTCTTACACTGCTAAATTAGGGACGGCTAGCGCAGATAGCCCTCGTGTAGCTTTGCGCGAAATTCAAAAACAAAAACAAACAAAACAATATAAAGAAAGAAGCGGTTAAACTAACTTTAATAGAAGGAAATTGTACCCATCATTAATTTATATAATAAATGGGAATATACCTTAGCTTTAACCCTTGATATATAACCAGTGTCTGCTTATTACAGGATAATAACAGTGAGTAAATCTTTTATTCCGCAAATGAGAAGTGAATAAACACTTTATTCCATGAATGAGAAGTGGTTAAACGCTTTATTCCATGAATGAGAAGTGAATAAACACTTTATTCCATGAATGAGAAGTGGTTAAACACTTTATTCCATGAATGAGAAGTGAATAAACACTTTATTCCATGAATGAGAAGTGGTTAAACGCTTTATTCCATGAATGAGAAGTGAATAAACACTTTATTCCATGAATGAGAAGTGGTTAAACGCTTTATTCCATGAATGAGAAGTGAATAAACACTTTATTCTACGAATGAGAAGTGGTTAAACGCTTTATTCTACGAATGAGAAGCGAATAAACACTTTATTCCATGAATGAGAAGTGAATAAACACTTTATTCCATGAATGAGAAGTGGTTAAACGCTTTATTCCATGAATGAGAAGTGAATAAACACTTTATTCTACGAATGAGAAGTGAATAAACACTTTATTCTACGAATGAGAAGTGGTTAAACGCTTTATTCCATGAATGAGAAGTGAATAAACACTTTATTCCATGAATGAAAAGTGGTTAAACGCTTTATTCCACGAATCAGAAGTGGTTAAACGCTTTATTCCACGAATGAGAAGTGGCTAAACGCTTTATTCTATGAATGAGAAGTGGTTAAACACTTTATTCCACGAATCAGAAGTGGTTAAACGCTTTATTCC